AGAAAGGCAACAAATGCAACAAATATAAAACACATACAAAGTTGCCAAAAGCAGTCAGAGTGGCACACACTAAAGACAAACTTTTTTTAAAAGTTGGGTTTTTTTTGTTCAACATCTTTTTTGTCCATTCAAGAAAACATTTCTGCATGGGTTTCACAGAACACCGTCGATTAAAGGAACAAAAAAGTAAGATTTCAGTTACCAAGATCTCTCAAGCTCTGGAAATAGCCAAACAAGAGTGGTCATTTCTCGCCAACTCAACCTCTGAAAAAAGACCACCTCAACCTCCCTGTATTGCGGGAATCTCCACTTCTTACTTTACTTTTATCCGCCGCTTAGACCCTTGTGGGTGTCGCGGGAAGAAAGAGACGTCTCTCTGTCGCCAGCCGGAGAGCTTGGGTCAGGGGGATGCCGTGGGTGGTTAATGTTTCCCTGACTCCATCTATCCAGGTCTCCACTTCTACTTAAGATAAATAGGTTGGGTTTTTTTTTCATCACAGGCAAGACGAATGGGCAGGCTTTAAGATGCCACCAATAACTCCATATGTCCCAAAAATTGACTAGCGCGTGATTCCACCGCGCCGTGACACACATTGTAGTACACCCGACCCCGCCATCGCTATCTCAATACTATACCCCTATGACGTCACACAGCACACTGGATGGGGTCGGCTTTATGTAGGGGGCTGCTTGAGCCCAATTTTTTCTTGTCTTTCTGATCATAATATCTTTACCAGAATAACTCTTTATTGGCAGAACGCAACAGTCCTACAACTATACAAATATAGGTCACGACCCAATACAGACGTACCAAATGGCTACGGGGACAAAAAATCTGGAACTTTTGGGATACACCGTATACAAACTTACTCGGGGACTCACAAAAGTACGGACCAATGTTGTTTCATGATATATCTCTCTTGTGAGGAGAAGTTTTCACCACGATCGACCTAAAGATGGACAGAAATCTAGTGATTTTAGAAATTCAGACTTCCTTTTTTTTCTTTTTTTGTGGTAAGTTTTAATACGGCGCTCGCAACTGCATAAGGTCACATGAGCGCGCAGGACACACGAAACCTTTTTAGTTGGTAGGAAATTTTGAATTTTGCCCGGGAGGCGGCCGAAGCCTACTCTTATCGATTTTAGACCATCGATGGGTCTGTAACGTGCGCAACATGCATTCGGGATCTCCGAGATTCTTCGCCCTTGTCCGAGAAGGCAAGATGTAGATCTTTCCTACCAGAAGATTCGGGGTGTGGCAGAAAGACAGCAGTAAGGAGGGGCCAAGGAGTAGCAGTAGAAAGGCTGCAGAAAGTCAGGAGCCCAGAGGAGGGGGCAAAGGAGGTGAGGGGGTGGGGCAGAAAGTGGAGACGAAAGCAGACAACAGAATATTGCTAGAGAGCAGGAAAGGAGATGAACGGAGACAATTTTAGAGGAAAAGAATTCCTTCGCTACCTGGATTCGAACCCGGGATCTTTGAATGAAAGGCGAACACCTTAACCTAGTAGGCCACGAGAGCCGTCGGATTTATACAGACAATCAGCACATCTGCAAAGAGGACGAACCCAGCAGTGCACCACTCCCTCGAGCGCAAAGATGTAAATCACCAGTACTCGAGCACCACCACCTATAGTTTGATTGGACTCTTATACTGAAGAAAACACTGTGTGTCCCAATGCTGGGAACGCAAGATGTCAAACAGCTGTCATTAAAAGACAATTTTGTCACAAAAGCTATGTACTCGTACCCCCCCCCCAAAAAAAAAAAACAAAAAAAAAAAAAAACCCACAAAAAACCACACACACACAAAATAAAATCTAAACAAAAAACCCCCCAAAACAAGAACAACAATGACAAAGAAATAAAAAACCCAACAACAAAACAAAAAACACAAAAACTCCAAACAACATCGATACCATAAAAAACAACAACCAAGGCATAGATAAATAAAAACGTAAAACAAAAAGAAGTGAATTTTAAGAAATCAAAACATTAAAAATGAATAAATAAAAGAACAAACAAAAAACAAACAAAAAAGAATTTTAAAAAGTTAAAATACTAATAAACAAATAAAGAAAGAAACAACAAAGAATAAGAAAATAAACAAATAAATAAATTCAAAAACAACTGTTTGTGTCAAGCCCACACCCCCCTCCCCCCTCATGTTCTCACCTGTATCTCGTGGTCAGTGTTGGTCACCTCCACAGCCTCAGACACATTCTCCAGAGCCTGGAAGAGTGCCGCACACGCCTTGAGCTGTAGACGACAGCGGACCTCTCCTACCTCCAGAGTCTGCAGCTCATTCATGCACGCCGTCACACTGGCGTTCTCTTCGTACCGCTGGGGAAGAAAACACGACATTTGTACACGTTTATTATACTCTAAAGTATAGATCATGAAAGAAAACACGACATTTGTACAGGTTTATTAGACGTCACACTATGGGAAAAAACATGACATTTGTACACGTTTATTAGACGTCACACTATGGGAAAGAAAACACGACATTTGTACACGTTTATTATAATCTAAGGTATCGTTCATACACCGTGTCACACTAGTTTAGTTTAGTTTACTAGAGGTTTTACGGCGCTCGCAACTGCATAAGGTCACATAAGCGCAAGAAGATTAGAGGTGTTACAAGAGAGTAATAAACATAAAAAAGAAGAAGGGGAGATCAGGAAGATAGATGTTTGATAGGAAAGAAGAAGCAGACCACACCAGAGCATCCGCCAACCACCCACGTCGTCACACCTTTGTTCTCTTCGTACCGTTGAAAAAAAAAAAGTAAACACGAAAATAGTACTGGCGTCGGTGGCCTAGTGGTTAGGCTCTCGGACTCGCAGCCGTAAGGTCGTGGGTTCGAATCCCGTCAAGTACCGGACTCGTAATCGTGAGGTTGCGGGTTCGGGGGTTCGAGCCGCGGGCCCGACGTTGTGTCCTTGGGAAAGACACTTTACTCGAATGTTCCGCACTTCACCCAGGTGGGAATGTGTACCCGGCCATAGACGGTGAAAGATCTTGTCAGTTTGTTAGTGTTTGAGCGCTTAACCAGCTGCTTGCACTGTATGCTTCCCGGGAAGCTGAGAATGTTTCGGAGTGTTCTATGGTCTGCTGGGGTAATAATATAGTGTAAAGCGCATAGAGCCTG